GTTTATGAATGTTGCTATAAGCACCACTCTAAGAACCAAACATGATGTATGTTTCTTTGGAATACCTGAGAGCAAGAGAGTACAAAAAATGAACATACATCCCCAATTTTTATGTTCTTTTACAAAATTACACAGATAATTCACATGTTTTCAAACCCAGTCAATGCTTTTCTGCAACTTCCAAGATGATGTTCAAAAGAATTGCTCATGTCCACTATTCCATATTTCTTGAGACATAACCAACAGAGAAGTCAGTTGCACTGTCTTGTATTTCCTTTGATCCATATGAAGTATGTATAAAAAATACTTCGGCATCTGCCAACTTCCATTTAACAAGCATCAATTCAGCTGCTTCATCACCACAATCTTTTGTGACATGCACTACACTCTGAGAAGCTAGAAAAGTTTGTAAACAGTAACACATGATGTTCTAAATTTACCACTTTTTACAAAGGCATCCCCTGCTCTTTAGTACCATGGTAAAGGAACAACAAAAATGTTACAACCAAAATATGAATTAAAGACTCCTTTGTGCTTGTTCCATTGGGTCAATGTCCACACCTCTGCACACTTTAGGGTCTGAGGCAACACCAGGGACAAAACATAACTCCAAACAGATCAAGAATACTATTGTTTTCCTAAAAGATGCTGAGATTTAAGCTTCAAGTTTCAAGTATTAGTATTTCATGTATTACACCAAGCACTGCTCATGTGGAGTACAAGTGAGAAGCAAAGATGGCTGTCTCTAGAGATTAAGTAAATTCACACCTGTGATACTTTGCAGGCTATCCCAGTAATAACCTTTTCATAAAACACCACTTATTTGCCCTAAACTCCCAACCTACAGTGGTAGACAGCTTTTTCCTTCCTGTGAGTACACAGACACACGTATCAATTTAAGCTTGCAGACACCAGGTTTGCAGGTTTTTATAAGTATTGTTATATTGAATTAACTGTAAATTTGGATTTAGTGGAAGCAAATGAAGCCATTACATTACAAATTTTAACTCATGCAACTTCAGTATTAAACTTTGGAAGGTACTTTTTAACCCCCTCTAAATGGCTTTGTTTCAACTGACCCCAGTCCTCACACAATTTCTGCCACTGCTGCAGCCAGCTGCATTTAACCCTCCACAGACATGCACACACATATGCTGGCACATGGCCATGAACTCAGAAGTGAATGGAAAACTCACTACTGAATCATTTTTTCAGTCTCTCTGAGGTACTTCATTGTTCTCTGTGCAACATTTTCCAATGTTTTTTACAGTCTGCTCTAAAAGCTCACTGGCAAGCCTTTTCCCTTTGTACTTCTACAGGCCTGGATCTTGCCCACATCAGGAAGTCTTAAGGGCTTGTCTCCTGTGGACACATTCCAGAACTGCAGCAGAACAGATTAAGAGATATGAATGTAAGTTACAACACAGGAACTCTCTGCCTTGATGGAATAATGCCTTCAGTTGACAACCTATTCCAGGATAGTTAAAGTAGGAATTACTTTGGAATTCGAAGTGACTTGTTTTTGTGGACGACCACGAGGGGGAGTTACACCTATTTAAGTACAGCTGTGATGAACCAGTTCTTCTGTTATGTCCACTTATTTTCCTCATCAGACAAACCCTACATCTTCCATCTCCCAGTCTGAACCAGTAGTAACAAGAACAGTTACTGATAAACTGCTTTGAGATACAGAGATGGTAGGCATCTGCAAATAATCAGATTCCACAGTCATGCAGCTGTTTAGCAAACACACACAAAACTTCACACCACAAACCATGTGGTTTTACTTTCCTAAAGCCACCATCTGTTGTGTACACAAAACGAATCCAAATATAAAGTAAAACTCAAGAAGCCAAAACTCGGTCTGTCAAGTTGAAAGCTCAAAATTAAACTAAATAAATAAACATGTGAATGGAGGGAGCAACTGGAAATTACATATTTTTTACTGCAGAAAACAAGATCCCAGATGGACTATCCTCACTAGCCAGAACATCCACACCAGAGGCCCTAGGACTGAGTTAGTCATCTTCCTGCTCTAGTGTTGCAGTGTTCTGGTTTATAGCACATCATTATGAACAGCTGATACACGAGGCAGAATTGTAAAACCATCTATCAGCTGCTTTCCTTGGAGACAGCCACTACTGAGACAGTAGCTCCACATCATCCTCTTCTGGAGGAGTACTGTGAAGACACCATCCAGAAATACCAATCTAACACATCCCCAGCACAGCTCTTCTTGTTATACAACACTCCCATGCAGCAGAACACACCTGTAGAGCCTTCAGAGCAGGGCATAGTGAGTTACCACTGTTCTGGAGAGTGAACTTCACCTTGTGGTGAGACTTGCCCCCTTGACAAATCATCATCCTTTTGGGGAGCAAACACTCCCCAAAGATTCTTAGAGGGGGTAGAAACGTAAACCTGCACTATCACTAGGGCTCTCTGCACAAAATATTTTTGATTTCTGGAAGAAGGCCCTACATTATTCCTTAGGATTGCATGATCCTACTAAAAGTCAGTTATGATACAGGGAGCAAAATACTGCAGGCCTCAACCTCAAAACCCTGTGAGACCTTACATGCAAATATGTAAATCTCATGCCCAATGTTGAGAACAGGCAGGAGGAAGGGAGGGGGAAGAGCAAGACAGAATTAAAAAAGAAAGCCTTTAAGCATTCCTGCTGAGGATCAAAGGAAAGCACTTCTATAGAGTGAAAACATGCCATTAAAATTCTTTCTTTGGTATGAATGAAGTTTGGACTGAAAATTGGAAAAAAAATTAAGCTCTTAAAACAACAGAAGTCTCCACCTCCTAACACACTGCCTTGTTATGGCTGCGAACTGAAATTAAACACTATTCCAGAAGTGAGTGACTCCTCCTCCCCTGCTGCAACACTGAAAATCCCCTGAAAAGTAGAATCCTTTCACAATCCTGAGAAGGTTCTCAGTTGCAATCAACTATGGACAAACTGGCACCACTACTGAATGATACGAAGAATGACATCAAAATATGGGACACTGGTACACACTGGTCCCTCTCAGAAAGAAGGCCCAGCAATGAACCACAGTAAGTTTTACCATATTAATGCCAAATCTAACCACTAGCAGTGGATTCAACATGACCTTCATACAGAATGGAGCAAAGACCCTTTCACCTGTAAAGCAGCTGCCTTAAAAATTCTCTTTGACCAAGTAATCCATCATCACTGCTGGACCACAACAAAGGCAGGCAGCCCACCACACAAGAGGCAGCTCAGAAATGTCTGCACAGCACCACAGTAGTCACAAATATCAAATTAGAGGCCAGGCAGTGGGAATGACAGGAGACTAGGAAGCAAATCAAAGAGGGTAGGCAAATTAAACCCTAACAGACACTGCTGTTCCCTGCAGCCACCCAGCCAGTTGGCTGAGTAGTAATCCAACACTAGCAGTCAGGTTATAAGGGTGACAGGATGGAAAAAGAGAGAAAACAAGAAAACTTCTCACTAGCACACAATTTTTAATGAAATAGCTACACAAGAAGGAAGTTGGTAGCTATATGCAAGGCAAGCCATGAATACTTTCCAGGAGGAACTCCCTCCACACATGCACTAGGCAGAAGTTACTGATAGCAGAGAAAAGTCAGCCATGGCAACCTAATAAACCTAAAAAGTCAGCCATGGCAACCTAATAAAAATGGCTCTGTGGCCTCACTGCCCCAGCAGCAGCATGACTGGAAGGCACAAATGCATTGAGCCAAGTGCTGGCTCAATGGCTGCAGTTAACACACACCGAGTCAGAAGCAGCAGCGTACCTGAGGAGATAAAAGTGGCAGACACTGCAGGAAGCATTCCTGAGAAGTGATGGCTAGAGAAGCACTGCACAGCTCACAGCTGAAGCCTACAGCCTGCCTTCCAACTAAAAAGCCCTCAATTTCTCACAGATCTGCAGCAAATTCAGTTGCCTGCATACAAATGGCTTAACATTTGATACCAGAATTTCCCACACATCTACACTGGGTTGACAAAACCAATGTGAGACCAAAGCCTGTGCTATCCCAGGCTGGCAGGGAATTGTGATCATCCCAAGCAACACTAAAAACATGTTTCAGCAACTGAATCAAGCTCCTCCTCCAAGCTCAGTAAACAGTATGCAAATAAGATTTTAGTAGCAGTACCTTCAACACCACATATAATTTTTTTAAAGACAAAAACTTAATATTCACCTCATTTCTGTTGCAACCCTTTGCATAGCACAAGACATTGAGCTTTTCAAGACCTGTGTTAAGATTTTCCCCCTCTCTTACCACTGAAAAGCCATTATTAAAACAGGTTTAAAACTTGTTTTACAAGCCTCTCACCCAGAGAGGCTCTCACCCTTCACAGGTATTGCTATGGGCAAAGCCTTTCCACAACGTGACATATTCTCAGGGGAGCCACACTTACAGTCAGTTCAGGTAAGAAAAGTGTTTATTTTCAGTTTAAAAGAGTAAAGTTGCTCTTTCAGTCAGAAGTTTCAGCATCCAGTCAGAAGACATCAGAATGCAAAAGCCACAATGGAGAATAGGGCCAAGAATAACTTCAGGTGATCCTCCTTAGTAGATGTAAGGTGACAGAGGAGCAAAGAGCATCTTCTAAATATGATTTTTGCACTGAGTTCAGGCAGGCCAGGATATCATAAACTATTTCTCCTGAGAATTTCAACAATTGTTCTGTCTAACAGTAAAGTGCCTGAGCTATATGTGATCAGCTCTGCCAAAATGCTCTGAATAGCCACATTGCTGTGCTACACCCATTCCTCTTCCACTCTAATACAGGATCCAAGGCAGGGTGGGGGGAGGAAGTCGGTAGCTCCCTTATATAGCACTTTACCAGGAGCTCTAGAACACTCTGTTTGAAGACACATCTACTTACTAAACATTACCAGTCTTGTCATTCAGTGCAACAGGTATCCCAATTGGTTTCCTAATGACAAATTTGTTACATACAATTTGGTGGGGGGAGACGGGGGTGAGAAACTTACGTCCATTTTGCGAGCAGCCGTGTCCTGATCATAGTGTCCCATGAGGTTTGGGAAAAAAGTCATATTGTAAGGCATTCCTGAACATCTGGAAATAGTAATTGGCTCACAGGTGAATAAGCTGTGCCCTTGCACCACAGCTAGAAGTAAGCTACAGGTCGCAGAGAACACAAGTGCTCCCATTTTGTCAGGATCTCCAACTTCAGCACATCGCTCTGTTCAGTAGTTACACAGACCGGCGTTGCACAAGGATAAAAACACGCATCTTCCTTTGCCAGCTCCGGCGCAGGGCAGCAAGGCACACAATCAGACTCCTCAGAGCTGCTTTAGCTATTGTCCCATTTTAGCTGAGCGCGACTTTGCTCAATCCCTTCTTCTTCGAGTCTGTACGTGCAAAGACGGGACAGAGAAGTGAACAGCAGAAACAACCCGACCGCGACCACCCGTCCGAAGGTCGAGCTCGGCCTCCCGGCCGGCCTGCAGGCGAGAGGGCGGCTCCGGCCGGGCCGGGTGCCCCCGCGGCGCCTCCCCGACCCCACACACCGCGCCGGGGCCGCGGCTCGCCGCGTTCGTCCCCCGCTCCCGCCTGGGCCCCGGAGCCGCCGCCGCTCCCAACGCCCCGTTCCCAGCCCCGCCCTGGGAAACGGCGCCCGCGGGCTCGGCAGGGCAGTCGGCCCAGGACCCGGGGCTCGCCGGGCGCGGCCCCGGCGCCGCATCCCCGCCACGCCCGGGCCGCGCCCCCGCCGCCCCCTCACCGGGACCCGCCCCCGGCGGCCACCCCGCGGCAACGCTCCGAGGTGGAGTCGCTGCTCCCTGGGACGAGAGGGGACGGGGCCCTGACCCGCTGCCCGCCGCACTCACCGGTGGCGGCCCCTCCGCGATGGCCGCCCCGCGGCACCTGCAGGATGTGGCGTCTGGCGGGCGGGGCGGGGCAGCTGCACCTTCCCGCCCCAGCGGGGCTGCGGGCCCGTGGCGGCGGGCGGGGCCCCGGCCGGGGCTGTGAGGAGCAGTGAGGAGCAGTGAGGGACAGTGGGGAGCAGCGGGGAGCAGCGGGGAGCAGCGAGGAGCAGTGGGGAGCAGCGGGGAGCAGCGAGGAGCAGTGGCCCGGCCATGCTGCCACGGCCCCGAAGTCGTCCGTGTTGTCCCAGCGCGCCTCGCATGCCGGGGGAGCCCCGGCTGAGAAGGGCTCCGGCACTGCAGCACAGACGGAAACGGCGTGAAAATCCCTTCAAACTGACTCGGCACTGGGGTTTTCCTAAAATCTCTGTAACGCAGTGTATAAATTCTCAAGGCAATTTACAGAGTGTCGGGTGTCGGAGCATGAACCTGTCCCGCCGTTGGAAGCGATCTCGAGGATTGTTTCCAAATGCACCTCGGCCTCTGCCAGGCGGGAGGGCCCCGCGGCAGAGGGCGGCGGGCCCCGCGCTGCCACCTTCAATGTCGCCTTCACCGCCACTTTCACCTTCACCACCACCTTCACCGACACCTTCACTGACATCCTTGCTGCCACCTTCACTGCCACCTTCACTGCCGCCTTCACTGTCACCTTCACTGTCACCTTCACTGACACCCTTGCTGCCACCTTCACTGTCACTCTCGCTGCCACCCGTGCTGCGACCTTCACTGCCACCCTGGTTGCTACTTCCACTGCTAGTTTTGCTGGCACCCGAGCTGCCATCCTGCAAAAGGCCCGAATCCTCAGGAGATGATGGGTGCAGACACTCAGTAGATGAGGCTACAGCTGAGGAAGAGATTGATATTAGAAGTCGATGTTCAACAATTGAATTTAATGAAGGAAAGGGAAGTGATCAGAAATATTTGGTGAGGAAAGGGATGCTGTGGTAAGAACAAAGGGAAATGACTATTCAAATGAAGGAGGAGCATTGTGGTGACTTTGGTGCTCAGACTAGTGCTGTCTTCCAGAAATGCAGCTGGAGGATGTGTGAACTGTCCTCCCACTGCTCCCACACCCGCTGCTGGCCGAGACCACACACACCAGACAAGTACGGGCCAGTAGTGCTCAAATGTGTTCACAAACACAGGCCTGAGCTAATGAGAAGTAAGTATAGAAATTCAGAATGTTACTAAGCAGAGGTGACCAAATTTCTCAGCATGGAGCCATCCAAGGTCTCATCAGGCTGTTGTTCAGCCATGCAAGTTGCTCCATGCTCCAGGACTGGAACAGGAAACACCAGATGCCGAGACATGCAAACCAGATTTAGGAATGGTTTGATGATGTTCAGGCAGCACTGCTTCTCTTCTAATGAGCTCCTGGATAGTCTGTGCAGTCTGGCACATTCATCCAGAGAATGCCTCCATGGATTGTGCTTGGAGAGCATGAAACCTGCATGTGGTTATTCAGAAGACAATAAGTATCTGGAAGCTCTCTATTCGTGCAGGTATTTTGTGTGTCATTGCCTGTGTCACCCTAAAGAAACATAAAACTGCTCCATGTTCCCTTACACCAAACCATTTCAGCACCTCTGTGAATCATGAGGAGGATTGTATCTACCTGCTGCATATTCACATAGTTCTGGCACTTGAGCACATGGAGTAACTTGATACCTGGAATTAAATTTGCTGTGCAAACAAGCAAATGATGCTAAATTAAATGTTATTTGCTAGTTGTGGAAGTTATTGTACTTCACTATTTGATAAACCCATCTGCATTATCCTTTGTCGTTGCTCCATTTTTCATCTTCCAGCTGTCTTCTGTCCTAGTCTCTCAGTAGCTCTACCTATCCTGGAAATACTACATTTTTCTTTTCATGAGCTCTGAGAGACCACATACTCCAGGGGTCTGGAAGTGACAGCCCCAGGAGCATGCAAGGAACAGCTTCCCCGCTCCACTTCTGCAGAAGTTCTTATTGGGAGGTTCTTGATCAGCCCTTGCTGAAGTTCCAGAGTTGCTCTCAGATTTGGGAACAGCATCAGACACACTGAAACCTTGCAGAGACAAAGCATGTTCAGTGCAGATTCACACTCCACCAGATTTCTCATGAACTCTATTTCCTTTCTAGTTCCATTGACTAAGGCATTATATAAAGCTATGGCTTAGTTTGTTCCATCAGAATGCATTTTTAACATAAATCTCTGAAAAACAGATATGGTTAAGTAACATTCTTTTCCTTCCATAAAGACTCTCATGTTTTTATTAGATGACAGGAAAAGGCAGAGAACAGGAAGCATGAAACCTTTCTTCAGTCACTCTATTAATATACTTTCTTTGCTCAGAACCTAGTTGTTAAGCAAGTTATTCCAGAGGCTGGTTCTCAGAGTGTGATCTAAATATATTTGTTTCTGGCTCTATTAAGGTCTTGAATAACCAGAGGGGGGAATGTGAGCACTCTCTTTGGTATCTAGCAAAGCACCTTGCAGTATGATTAAGTATTTTAAGCATGTGCTCAGCTGTATTGCTGATTAGGGATGCAGCTACTCAGATGTGTAAATACTTTTCTTACCTGGCACTGGAGATATTGTTAACATTCCAGTTAATATTGATTTGCTGATCTTCCCTGGCACTGCCTCAAATAATTATAGTTTAAAATTTTTACTGCAGAGAGTATAAGGTCTTTAAAGACTTATTTAAATCCTAGGTCATCTTCAGATGTCTTTCATCAAATTTAGCAGAAGGGAATTCAGCAGTCATGCACAGCAGATCCCTTCCAAGCTCTGCTTGCTCCCACCATCTTTGCAAAGGATATTCTGGAACAGGCTTTGTGCCATCCCCTCCATCCCCGTGCTCCCTCCAGCTTGCTTAAACCCACCCTCAGCAGAAACATTCACATCTTGCCTGGGCTATGGGCTAAAGCACCATTTTCTCCGTCCAATTTTTTTGTGGTGACATCCCTCCAGCCATGCAAACAACAAGGTGACCATGTTTACCTGCTGCATGAACGTGTTGGTGCCCCATGTGCTTTGTGGAGGAGGGATCTCCAGCAGTGGCAGTTGTCAGGAAGAACCCTTCCTCTCACACACCAGGAGGATGTGTATGGTGGTAATGCTTGAGTCTGCACACTTGTACATGAGCTTTGTCCTCCTGACACATCTAAAAGTTTCATAATTGAATTGCACTGAAGGAACATCGTACCGAAGTTTCACCTAATGTAATTTAAATGTTACAGATTTGCCAATTACACAGCTTGATGTTGGCTGATTCAGTTATAAGGCTCATAATGTTCTTATTATTCTGCATTTAAAACACATTATTCATAATTTTTTGGAATTTAAAAGGGCTAAATAGCCAGTAGATGGCACCAATCAATCCTGTTGTGAGAATTAGAATGGCAAAGTGTAGTTCTTGTCTTTTTTTCAAATGCATTTTGGAAATGAAAAAAACTAGACAAAACAGCATTACTGACAAAATTTTACTTTTTAATTTACAGTAATAGTTTTTGAACAGAATGTTTGTCTGAAGTCAAAACCCTACCGTGTTATTGAACACATAAACTTGTGAGGAAGAACATAAAAATTTATTTAGAAAATCCAGTCTTTGATGGGTTAGTCCCTTCTGAGTACTTCTGCAGTCTCATTCAGCTGCATCAGCTTAAATCTTGTTTATAACATTTTCTTCCATAAAGCCTTTAAACTGTAACTCACCCCTCTCAACTCACTACAGCAATGAAGACTAGAGAAGGAGTCATCTAGAGAAAGCCAGAATGTTGGTGCATTGCTCTGTATTAATCTCATTACTGGGTGCTTGGAACCCATGTCATGTTCCTCCCTGAACAATGTTATTTAGACTTTAGTCCTTCAAAATATTACAGCTGTGTGGGTTATGGCACCCACACACAAGAAGATGTTGATTTCTTTGATGTAAGAAAGATCTCAAGAAAGATCTCATCTTTCATTTGTCTGTAAATGACACCACCATGCCTTCACAGCATTGCTTTAATAAAACAGTGATTATGCTAATAGTATTTCTTTCCAAACAGGTTACCTCGCCTAGCCCCGGATATTAAGCACGATGCAAACTAAACAGGAAGCATGCTTGTAAAGAGAAAGCTGTCCTAACAGTTTAAGGACAAGGACACTTCATTCCTTGTGCACCTTTAGCAGCTGCCTTCACTCCTGATCAATCTGCAGCCCATCTGGGTGGCTGACAGTAATGGTAGCAGCAGCAGTGAGTGTTTTTCTTGACAGAGCCCCTCTTGTCCCATTGTTTCTGTGGCTGTAGTGGAACTCACCTTAGACAATGTCACACAGGCTGGGGAAAAAGAAATCTGTGTTTCAGAGCATGAGTGATTTCCTATGGAAAAGACTGATACAAACCAAGCGATCTCTTGGAGTGGACAGGCAAGGTATAGGTGATTCTGACAGCAAAGCAGAAAATCCTGGCTTAATGAACTATATTGTAGCTTTGGGTTTTACTCCCTCCAAAAGATTAACCCATTAATTTGAGGTGAACTGTCCATTTCAGTACAATGTGCAATCATCGAGGCAGAAGTGTCACACATAGGTAAAACCTTACAAAAAAAGGCCTTGTAAAACCATGGTTCAGGCCTTGTTACTTCAGCTAAGTATACCTAACAGCTAGCCTGTCCCATGATTACCTGCAAGCCAGTCAGCCATTACTCATTAAAACCTGTGAAAATAAGAAGTCTATCCTATGAGAATCTGTGAAGAATAAACGTGAGCATCTGTTGAAGAAGATGGCCTTAGCACATACACACACGAGCACCTATGAACCAATGAATTGAGTGGCAAGAAAGTTAATAACCAATTAGAATTAAACACAAGGCTTTTGAAAACTGTATAAAAATAGGCTGTGATCATTAACGTGCAGCTTTTGCTGCTTGACTTTGAAAGTGTTGTGTCCATCTTTATCTTCCTCACAGCTACACAGGAGTGACTTCACATAGATTTCCAGTGCTGTTCTTTAAGTCGGTAGTTCAAGAT